TTATCATAGAAAAACGACTCTCTTCAAACAAATTACGAGTACTTCGAATCGAACCTTGAGGAAAATTCATTATTAAACATGTAAATATTGCAGGTACTGACTTCATTCTACAATATCTCGTCAAATAGGATTTTTAAATTCTGATATTATATCTAGTAATTTATCGTTCAATATTAAAACATATTTCGCAGCTCGCTTATATCAGCAGTATTGGCATTTTATGATAAACATGAATATGTCAATATCACTAATAGATATGCTTTATTTCTTTATTTAATAAATCAAGGGTTTATATTTCTAGCATGAAAAATATATAACTGTATGCAGACCAAGGTTTTTTTTTTTTTTTTTCTTAAATAAACAAGGTTCATTCTAAAATCATACATACGTCGGTAAGGGTAAGTAACGTCGTGTGGGTTGTAGGCGCTGGGGCGAGATTTTATCTGGCACTCTTTCCAATCATTTCTAGATAGGTTTACCACAACAGAGCGAAAGATATATAAATACTTAAAAAGTAATAAATTCTGAATCCCATGACAGTTTATAGTAATTTTCATTATTAAAAACTGATATTACACTGGATTTAATTTTTGTTTTAGAAACGTGACGGTCCCTCCGAACGCGGAAGCAAGAGTGACCGCCACAGGCGAATCTACGGGGGATCTTGTAACCATGTTTTATGAAAAAAGATTACCTCTTAAAGTATTATTGTTCGTGTAATTACATTTAATAGGACTTCAAGAATCACTTTAACACCGTTTCATATAAGTAGTTAGTATCTTTCTTTCTTTCTTTTTCCAAAGTAATCATCATAATATATATATAAAAAAAAAAAATTTCGGGCTGATGTCCCCCCCCCCAAAAAAAAATTAAATCCTGGATCCACTACTGCTGATCGCCCCACCCACGCGACGGCCTTGAGTGCGATCTTCCTTACCTTTTTTACCTACAAAAGTTTCGTATTACAAACAATAACTTGAAAAGAGGCTTTGTTGGTTAAATTTCGGTGGCTCAAGTGTTCTCCGTGACTAATGGAATATTTGTAACATTTATCTATATTTGTCATACAAAAAAAAGTAATAATAATAATAAAAAAAAACAGTAAAGTAATTTCTATACATTCGTGTGGTAATATTTTTCCCGAAACGTCCTTAGCGATTTAATCACTGACACGTTATGTTTATGTTAAATACGATCTCGCCCTATATCAATAGTTACCTTTTGTACCTACAAAAGTTTCACATTTCAAACAATAACTTGAAAAGAGGCTTTGTTGGTTAAATTTCGGTGAATAAACTGGTCCTCGTAACTAATCGAATATTTGTAACGTTTATCTATATTTGACATAAAAAACAAATAATAAACAGTAAAAGTAGTTCCTGTACAATCATGTAGTAATATTTTTCCCGAAACGTTCTTAACCTTTAACGTTTAACGTTTATGTTAAATACGATCTCGTCCCATATCAATAGTTACCTTTTGTACCTACAAAAGTTTCACATTTCAAACAATAACTTGAAAAGAGGCTTTGTTGGTTAAATTTTGTTGGTTAAATTTCGGTGGATAAATTGGTCCTCGTAACTAATAGAATATTTTTAACGTTTATCTATATTTTTCAAAAAAATAAAATAAAAAAACAGTAAAAATCGTTCCTGTACAATCGTGTAGTAATATTTTTTCTGAAACGTTCTTAGTGATTTAACCACTGACGTTTAACGTTTATGATGAAATATTTCGTCCCATATCACCACTTAGTGAAATTTTCAAATTTCGTTATATTCTTCGGTTTTTTTTTTTTGGTTTTTTTTTTTTTATTGTATAGAATTTTACAGTTAGAAAACTTGGGAAAGCATGTACTGAATTAAACTTTAAGAAAAAAAAAATATATTAAGCTTTGGTAGAAGTGGAGGAACTAAAAGTATCCAGAGCAGATTGAGAAGTAAAATTAGTTCATCAGGATCAGGCAGGTGCCATCAGCCCCCAGCGTGCATCCCTGCAATCTGATTAACCACCTGTCCATGCTCAGGAAGCATGTTCCCTCCAGCATTTGCAAAGCCGATTGAACGGCCATGAGGCGTCTTTTAAGTACGCACAAAAATACAGAAAACTTTTATCAGGCTTGCATCAAATAAAAGGATCGATAAAAAAGGTCATAGACCAAACACAGAATATATATTACGCAATGAGTTTAAGAATTGTACGAAAGTTGATTCCATGTTGAATAGATGATTCTTAGATATTGAATAGAATTTGGTTAATATAAGAATGCTAAGAGCGTCCATCGAAAATACAGTCTGGGTTAAAAAAAAAAAAAAAAACAACTTTACCACTACTACAACAACACTTAGAGGGTCAAGGATTCAGTACTAAGTAGGAAATACTGTTAGGAAAATAGGTATAATCCGTAATGTGTAGCGAAAGGTTCCCAACTATTACACCAATTACTGATTTAAATATGTCAATTTCGCTATCAATCTACAAAGATGTTTAAGTAGATAAACTTGAAAGAATCCAACACTTAGGGTGGATAGGATTTCCCAATTTCTGTAGTCAGTTTTTTCTATTAATTAAAATATAATTTTATTACAAGTTATATCTACAACAATAAAACCAAAGAACATGGGTAGGATAGAAAGGAAAATGTCAATTTTTATGATGTTCATTAATTTTAAAAACCACAAAAGGGTTGGTTTTAAGGATGAAAGGAATAAAAAGGGTTTTAAGGGTCCTTTATTTAATATCGGCCTAAGTGTATTTATACGGTAAAAACACTAAAATAATTTAAATATCTAAATTAATAACTTTAAATCTTGTCAATAAAAAAAAAAAAAAAAATTGCAAACAAGAAATTTAGAAATATATACAGGGTGTTTCGTAATTGCACGGCACTATTTTAGGTATGTGTTCACTAACACAAAATAAACAAAAAAGTTCAAAATCTCAAACTAATTTATTAAACAGATATCAAAGATTTATTACTTATTATAACTATTTATTTATTATTATTACAACATTTAGTGTAACTGTTCAAAGGAGCATCCGTTTTGTTGAATGCAACATTCAGCACGACGAATCCATGCTTCTCTTCGTATAGCATCAAGATGGTGCTTGATAGTTACTGCGGCTTCCACGATCCGATTTCTTAGGTCTTCTTGCGTGCCAACTGCCGCAGAATAAACCATAGACTTCATCTATCCGCACACAAAATGATCTAATGCGTTAAATCCGAAGATCGTGGTGGTCATTTAACAAGTACGTTTCGACCAACCCATCGGTCTCCATAAATTGCACTTAAATAATCAGTGACACTATTAGAAAAGTGAGCTGGAGCACCGTCATGCATAAACCACAGCCTTTGCCTAATGCCTAGCGGAATATCTTCTTGGAGTTCATGAAGATTATTTTGAAAAAGAATGCAAGTAACATATACCTGACAGCCTAGGTGGCAAAAAGAAGGAGCCGATGATGTTGTCGCTTAGAAGACCATACCAGACAATTAAAGAAAAGTTATGTTGGTAACACCCAAGAGCAGTCGTTCGTATGAGGGTCTTCTTCAGCCCAAATATGGGTATTTCAAAAATTAAGAATACCGTTTCTCGTAAAGCAAGATTCATCAGTAACCAAAATGTGCTATTGTTGGATTAACCACTGGAGATATGTCTGCGCTTGATATAATCTTGTAGTAACAAATCTTGCGTATTCGATACGTGAAATGGATATAATTATTGTTCGCCTAAAGTTCATCGTACGCTGGTAGAGGAAACATCGAAACAACGTGATAATCTTCGAGTATTTCTTCATCAACGTTTGCAGTTCGTTGAAATCTTTGTCGACCGGCGTTTACTCGTATAGGTTTTAGCGTGCTATTATTCCTAAGGCGTCTTTCAAAGGTCTCAAACGTTTTACGATTTGATATTCTTCGGTTAGTAAATGTTTCACAATATCTTTGAAGAGCAGCAGCACCGTTTCTATGTACTTCGCCATAAGTTAAAAGCATGTCTGTTTGTTCTGCAAAAGTGAATAAATTTATGGTGCCTCCAATGATAATCATAAATTGAACTGTGTCACAGTATTCACTCACACTAAAACACACAGAACTAGACAAACAGATGAGCAACTACTGTCATTGCTTATCGTTCATTTGTTTATCAGGTGATTAAAACCCGATATTTAGTATTAAACACGTTAAACTTTGTACAGTCAAGTCTTACTGTAGTAAATAAATAATAAATCTTCAACCTTTAATATCTGTTTAATAAATGAGTTTGAAATATTTGTTAATATGAACTTTTTTGTTTATTTTGTGTTAGTGAGCACATACCTAAAATAGTGATAGGATTTAACCATTGAAAAGATTGTTAAAATTGATTTAACCAAAAAGAAGATATTTTCATTTCAGTTAATAAGTTTTTAGTTTTTTCTATAAAAACCAAGAATAATACCTTAATAATAATATATGTAAAAATAATTTTCTAAGAAATATCAATATTGAATGAGGAGTATTCTTTTTCATTTGATCATTCAAGTCACAAATCTGAACCTATTCTCGTTACTCATTAGTTTTCGTGTTTAAGCTTTACAAAATCACTGTATATGTAAATGAAATTAATAATTTTCGTATTGATTTAACTAATTTTAAGTATTATTTTTAATTTAAAAAATTGTACGTTAAAAAAAATGTCAAATTGGATAATGATTGAATGCAAAATTTAATTTGCATTTTTGCACATATTTATTTTGTTATATTTTGAGGCGGAAAAATAACCTATTTATTTTTTTTAGCTAAATCAACAAAACTGATACGCCAGTTATTCAATTTTTTTATCTCATACAAAAAATATGTACCTCAGAAAAAAACAAATCGTTATTTTGAGCGTTTTTAATCGGCTGATTAAACCGAAGCCGGAAAAAACGGAAACCAGTAACAAGTTATTTTCCAGTAACCATCACCCTTGCCAACAAAATGCGGTCGAAAACGAATGTGGAGGGGGTAAAGTAGTGGGGGGATGACGTAATCACTCCATAACTACTAAAGTCCACCTTATCACCCTTAACGTGGGTCAGTGAGGATTGTAGATCAAGACTGTACAGTGAATCAGGATGAAACAGACAGATATCGACTTGTACTACAAGACAGTCATGGAAGCAGTAGAATTAGCTTCCAAGGTGAGTTATTAAAGGCATTAGTGATTCATTTGCAATCAAGTATTGTCAATCATTATTTCATTTACCTCATAATTATTTTTTTAATTTAATCAAACAACATAATATGATTTCATCCTTAAAATAATCATCAGTAATAGTAGTTTAGGTTTTGAGAAAAAAGAAATCTGAACCTATGCAATTATCATTAAATTATTTTACTAATCATTGAAGATAACATCAACGTTCAATTAACTGATATACCATTTTAACAGCATATAAGCATGCTGTTTAGAAATGGGCAATGAATTAAAAAACACCAGAGAGAAAAAACACTTGAAAATCTAGTCAATTTATCTACATAAAAACAAATATTTGTAAAACCTGAGCAATATAAAAAATATCAAATAATTCTAGCCAAAAGAATCAACAACATAAGTAACAGTATAATATGATAATTATAGTATGCTGCACTTTAATAAATATTAGTTAGAATACATCATAGCATTGTTATGAATGAAAATAAATTATAGCATTGGAACGAATAACTTATTATTTGTGGGTATTAAACAAATTATACACATAAAACTAGCAGTTAACTGTCATTTTTTATTGTTAAATTCAACATTAATAGTAATTGACAACATACAAAAAAATATACTAACATCCATAATTATAATAAATAGATTTTCATTGTTTTTTGTTAAATAAAATTCTTGTTTTAATGCATAAATAAAATAATTATAAAAATAAGCTTTGAATTTACGTATTTGGAAATAAAATAAAAAACTATTTATAAAACAGCTATACTTGAATAGGTGTTTTCTAAAAAAATCTGTTTTAACAATAGAGTATAAATGAAATATCAAATAAATTATTCGATAACGATGACAATTCATTAAATAATAAAACATACTATTTTCAATGTTTATTTGAATTGCAAATGACTTAAACAATTATGCTCGAAATGGATAAAATCATCGTTCATCTATTTATTGTTATAGATTTAAATATTTATATTTTTCATTTACCAATTGAATTTGCTTCAGATTGTACTAGAAGGATTTCAAGGAACAAAAAACGTAAAAACTAAAACAGCTTCTTGGGATTTAGTCACAGAATATGATCGTAAAACGGAAGAATTATTAATTAAAACCTTATCTAAGGCTTTTCCAGACCATAAATTTATTGGTGAAGAAACAGCATCCAAAACCAAACTCACAGATGAACCAACATGGATAATTGATCCAATAGATGGAACTACAAATTTTGTACATGGTATACCATACTGTTGTATTGCAATAGGGCTCGCTATCAGCCGTGAAATTGTGATTGGTATTGTATGCAATCCTGCCTTAAATCAAACATTTACAGCCATAAGAGGACGTGGAGCTTTCCTAAATGGTCAACCCATACACGTATCAAATGCAGAAGGTACACTGATAAAAATTATTATAAATTTCAAGTGTTCCATCTTTTTCATTGTATAACAATGTAAAATTTTCAGAGTTGAAGAATGCAGTTCTAGCATTCGAATTTTCCTTAGCAGCACGACCTGAAGTACAAGAAGTTTTTATTAACCGATACAGAGCTCTTGTGACCAAAGCTCAAGGGTGAGTAATTATAAATCATTAAGAAAATGTTAAAGATAAAAAAAAAATAGGTAATAAGTAATTACAACACACAAAAAAAATTGTTTAAAAAAAAAGTACAGTGAAACCTCGCGATAAGGATCTCTCTCTTTAAGGAATACCTCTGTTTACATTAACAATGAACCAGGGCTGAATTATACTTTTGTGTACCATCTTTATAACATTTATATTGAATACTTGATGGTTGACCATTATATATTTTAGAGGAACAAGATGATCCGGGGTGGCGGTCATAAAAAGATTAAAATAATGGAAAAACTATTTTATTTAGAGCAAATATTCCGACCCGACTTTGCAGGTGTTCTTCAGTGCTAAAACCAACAAGATACAAAAGGATATAGAAAATTGTGGAAGTTACATAATATTTAGATAAAAATTATAAACAAGGTGAATAAACTTATAGAAATTATAAACAGTAATCGCATAGAAATGTTAAGAACAATAAACTATATAAACAGAGTAAACTAAGTAACAAGATCCTAAACTGATTATAGACTAAATGCAACAAGTCTGATTAAATAAAATGGCTTACCAGCCGAAACATAGCTGATGTAGATTGAAATAAATATGGTGAAGAAATAAAACAGCCTTATTTTATAGTATAATAAAATTTTCACCTAAAACAAACTAGAACATATAGTTTTTCCACTATTTTAGTCTTTTTATGAACGACACCCTGGACCATGTTCTTTCTCTTTAATCTTTATATTTTTGTGAAACCTTTCTTTTAGAGACACTAGTCTAGATAGGGGAAGCATACAAAGAAAATTATCTGAAAATCGTTTCTACCTGTCAATAAAGAACACAAACTTATTTCTTTGCTTTTCCAAGGATTTCAGTCTATATTTTAACTCAAAAGGGAATTTTTATTTATACAATTAAATCATTCTAATTTTGATTACCTTTCATTAGATGAAAATGAGTTTACTAATGATAGGGGCATTGAACTGGATTCAATAATTAAGGACCTTAAGAAATAGAATACCCAATAGAGCTGTACCCTAAAAAAAACTGAGAGCTTATAACAACAAAATCAGATTACATTTGATGACTTCAACAAAAAAAAAAAAACAAAAAAAAAGTTCTACCTATATCAGGACATAACTGAAATTTGTATATCGGCCACATATACACAAATCATTTTAGAATCTTAACATAAATTAAATTTTACACAATTAACTTTTACTTGATTTCATCATTGGCTAAATTAAATTTAATAGTTTTTGTTGAGTGAAATGTCTGCATGTTTACTTAATATTTTACCTCGCCTAATATACCCGGTTGCTCCGCCCTAAGGTAGACACTGTGCCCTGCCCATCTTAACCTTTGTATCTTCATATCATGGGATATTGATTGACCAGTTTCTGTAAGCAGTACTCAATTAATTGGTCTTTCTTTTCCATGTATTAGTACTCTGATCCAAAATCGCTCCGATTATCGTGAGGAAGATTTTTTTGTACCTTTATGTATATATATAATTTTTCTACATTAAAGGACAAAAATGGGATGATGACTGTCTGATATTCAGGAGTTTCAATTCATTGCAGAATGGTCACTAATGGTAAAACCCATTATGATGATTTGCTAGATAAATCTTTCTTCCATTTATTTCATTAATTATGGAAAAAATAAGCTCATTTTATATTACCTATCTCATTACCTCACCTACTAGAATAGTACGTACTTCAAAGAACCAAATATGTCAATAGTATATAATGATAATTATTGATGTTTTATACATATTCAGTCATTCATGTCCAGTTAACTATCATTGTATAATAGTACAAAATGATCTATTGACTGGATATAAATAATTTAAGATATATAAAAACTATGTATGACCACTTTTAGTATGAGGTCATTTGGATGTGCACAGATGCAACTTTGCCAAGTAGCATCAGGATTACTAGATGCCTACTATGTTGAATTTCTGGCACCATGGGATGTAGCAGCTGGGTCTCTAATAGTTACAGAAGCTGGAGGAACTGTTATAGACACTGATGGTAATTACTTTAGAAACACGATTTGAAGTTTTATAATAAAGTAATAATAAAATCACATTATAAGTTCTAATAGTTGATTGCTCTCCATAGGTGGTAAATTTGACTGTGTGAAATCACGTTTAGTTGCAACTGGTACAAAGAAACTGGCAGAAGAAATAGTGGAAATATTACGTACTGTAAGCTAAAAGAAGTACCCTTATTCATTCATCACACCCATAGTAGCTTAAAAGATGTATTTAATTTAAAAATAAAAAGAGGTATAAATATAATTATTTTTAAGCCATTGAATTTGTACATAAACATATTGTTTATAAACATCAAACAGTATTATTTCTTTTTGGAAAAAAATAAATATAACTTTGATAACAATAGCTTTTTAAATAATATGACACAAATTTTACTCTTTGTTATCCTTATAATGACAAGTAAGTACATAATATATTTATCACTTGAGATATTAAACAAGTTTGATATCAATTCATACAGAGGGATAAAATTTAATTTTATTATTAGTAGTAATATTAATAGACAAATGCACTATTAATTTTTACTTTTATTTACCTATACATGATATATATGACAAGGGAAAGTATTGCGATCTTTAAAAATTTTGAATCTGTGTTTTCAATGGAAATACAAGTTTTAGATCCCATGTGTCCAAATACCCAAGTCTCACAAAATGGTGTGTGTGTGTGTGCGTGTGTGTGAATAGCCTATTGAAAAAAGATAAGTTGCATAAAACTGAAATTACGTATTCAAGATAGGAATATGACTGGGATATTACTTTTGGCTATATAGATACATTTTGACAATTTTCTAGAAAACAGATTTTGATCAGTATATCAATGTATAATTAAATGGTCTTTAATATTAGCTGGGTCTATATACTAATCGATGTCGCCTAACAGGCTTTAAATGCCGGATGTTCAAAATTTCTTGCTCTAAAGTACCTTTGATTTGATTTTGAATAATTAACCAAATGCTGGTAGTCATAAAAAAAGTCTAGATATAAAATATGAAAGAATTTGATAAATGACTTAAAAGAGAAAAAGGAAACATTTTTTTTTTTTTTTTTTTGAAAATGAATTTCTGGAAATAATAGTCTGAATATAATATAATAATCCTTGGAAAGCTGTCGAAAGTACTTGAACACCCTCAGTACTCAAACCATGCCCTAAAGACAACCAACATGTTTGGGTTGAAACGCTGGCATAAATAAAAAATACTTTTTTTTTAAAAAAAGACTGCATCCTGAATATTTATCACCCATGATATTTAGAACAGTCGACTAACTTCCTTAACTAATATTATTTAACGGAAATCACATGTTTTCAAGGAAATTAAATGAAATTTACCTACTAAATATAAACTTTTTTAAGTTTGAAAAAAAAAGTATTTAAAATCCACCTAATCAAGGCAATGGCATTGTTAAAAAAACTATTTCATAGTACTTGTGTGAAAGAAGAAGTGAAATATAAAAATATTTCATGGATGTATAAAGCATTCATTTGTATCATTTCTTTCATATTTATTAATGAGTTTTTGCATTAATAAATATGACAGAAATTCACAGGTGTGTTCTGTAAGGTTCAGTTCCATTAAAAAAGCACATAAAAAACGTTTTATAATGGTTCAATTTTGCCAGAATATAATTTCTATACAAAGTAGAGTGGTAAGAGTATTAAAGAGGTTAAAACAGCGAGCAGCAACCTTTATTGCTGAATATAATGAATCACATCATATAACATTTTTTTAAAAAGTGTATTCTACATATTATAAATTTACTTTCTGCTCTAACATTTTCAAAAAAATCATTAAAAAAAAAATATCACATATTCAAAATTAAATGGGCACAGGATAAAAATTCAAGGAGGCTGCATGCAGCCCCAAACGAGATCGCACATACGCTATAGGAGGGCATGTGTTTCTTGCCTATGGAATGAAGTATAATCCATGAAAATAAACATTTCTAATAAGATAAACAATTGATATTCAAACATATCAATAAAGGAAATAGGAAAAACTTAAATAACACCATTTCTCGTAACAGCAGCCTCCAAACATTGCTGCTCTATAATTATCAATCTAGTGGTAGAATTATTTAATATTCAATTATTTAAGTAATGAAAATTTGAAGATTAATAGAATTAAGTTAAATGCATGTATGGGGGTATGTGTATTTAGTGATAAATAAAAATAGCAATAACAAAATATAAAGAATTATTGCGGTTTCCATTAGTACTACCTAACTTTATTGCAGCCTCTAATGATAAGAAGATTCCTCGCCTATGGCATAGACCACGTAAGAATATTTATTAATATTAGAATTCAATGACTACTTTCAGTACCTAATAAAAACTTTAACTTGAACTTATCATGTCTAATATAACTTTAACCCTTTAAAGCTATACTTTCAGAAATACCAATATACAAAATATTGTACTATTTTCTATAATTTTCTTTTAATAAAAATATTTAGGCTAAAGATCTAATCAGATTTAGAAACAAAAGCATAAAATTACCTTGAGTGTTTCTCTTTCAAAACAGCGAAACATTACCATCTGAATCAACAAAGCATTGTAATATAAAAACAATCAATCTCATTAACTGTAAAATGATAGTTTAAACATTCACTCTAATACAACATTCGGCATTCTTGATTCCTTTTACAAAATTAATTAGCGATTGAACTAAATCTGTTTTTGCGATTTCAAATCTGTTCGTCAAATTATAAATAATTAACAATTAAATTTTACCACACCTCATGATAATAAATATTTATATCACAAAATCGTAAATAATACATTAGTGCTAAACTTTAGTTTAATTTTAATTATATGATACTTAAATTTGCATGAATACTATAATTCAAAATTAGAATTATATTATCTTAAAATAATAATATAAGAACTAATTACAATTGCATTAATGGATTTATTACTGAGATGGTATTGAAAGAAATTAAATTTAATCATTAAAAACCTTTAAGTTTTAATTAGGATAACAGAACACAGAGCAATTCAACACTGAGTTGACAGTGAATAAAAATATTTAGAGCCATTCAGCACTTAGTCGACAGTGAATTATACCATTTAACTACCAAATTGAAAAACTTATATATTATTTCTGAACATAAATCCCTTTTCCGGCTCTCAGGAGAGAAGGATTTTGAATAATGATGTCTCGTTAGAAATAGAATTTCACACAAAATGTGCAGATCATAAGTTGATTCTCAGTTTTTTATAAGGACTAAATAAAAGTGAATATTTAAGTGAGAGGTTTCAAACAATATGATGGTACCAAGTCAATGGATCGAGACGTTACAATTTCTAAATTCTCACAAAATGAAAAATCATTGAAATGGATAACAATTAAGTCCGATAAGATAATTTTATTATATATATATTTATGATTCAATTTAAAGTTTACTAACTTTATTTTTTTTTAAAACAAACAAAATGTAATATTATTTTAGTTATATCTTTATTAATAGAATATTTAGTATAATTCATTAAATATGAAAAATGATATCGGCCACTGGGTATTCTGCATTCTGTCCAAAATACACACCACACAATAACTTTTTGGGTATGCAATGTTTCTTGTGTGTCATATAAGAATTTTTCTCACCCCTAATATAGCAATTTTGTTAACATAACCAGATATCTAGAAGTGAGCTTTATCTGAGAAGAAAATTTTCTTTCAAAATCAGCATCAACTTCCTGTTGCTGTAACAGCTAATCAACATAAATTCTTTGCTGTCCAGGGTCTCTGGACTTCAGTTCTTGGGTTCATTATTACTTAATAAATCGAATTAACTGTATTTTATAGTGTAGGTTCAAATCCCTATACAAAATGCACCAATTTTAAAGGCATATTTTCTCTACTCTTTCTTCATAATTTAACCTAACTGAGTCATAGCATCGTGTGGCTGAGTAGAGGAAGTAAATAAATAAAAGTAAGATTTGAAATAATTTACCTGCATTGGTGGCTGCTGGTGTGGTGGCAATTGCGGATGAGGCTGAAATGTTTGAGTACCTTGCTGCATGCCTGGAGGACCACCATTTGGTCCATTCATATGAGGCATCACACCTTGGTAGCCAGTGGGGCTATGAGGGTGGTGGGGTGGCCCCATTGGTGAGGCTGCCTGTTGAGCTGAAGGAGGCATCGGTGATGGAGCACCCTGAGGAGGGCCCATAGGCGAAGGGGCCTGAGGAGGAGGCATTGGTGAGGACTGAGACTGTGGCGAAGGACTCGCCATACCACCACTGTCTCCATCCATTGTTGTGGAATCTAAAAAAAAAATTATAATAAAAATAACTCAAAATTTTGTATCAAACATTTATATAGCAAAATATAAAATTAATTCATAATCATAACGCCATTAACAAAAACAAAAATTAATTAACACTAGACCAAACATAAAAAAAAAAAATATAAATCAAGCAAAGCCAAATCAACTGAAGAAGGCTTGCCAGCCAAATCTTCATGAAAACAAAGTTTTAAGTGGTGAGGTATTTTTTTAGTCTCAACAATTCCTAATAAATTAAATCCCTCCAGCTTTAGCATATAAAACTAAAAAATATACAGATTACCCGATTTAGAAATTCACCTATATTTTAAGGAAAATTCATATACACGGAAAATGCTACCAGGATGCCAAATAGGCACTTTGTGATTAGTTAAAAGAGACTTTCAGAAAAACTTAACTGAGGTAGAGTATAAGTTTGTCCATTAAAAATGTTTTTACTTTTGAAAAAAAAAATAGATACATCATAGAGACATTAAGACCAAGAAATAGTGACAATTAAAGAGGAAAAATTTCTATATTATGAAATGAGGAAGGCATCATTCCAAAACATCAAACCATTGATTCATAACTTATAGTAATTGTTTACAAAAAATGTATGATGTAATTTAGCATTACCAAAGATTAGTAAATAGAAATTGGGTTTGGTTTCAACAAGGTAATTTCTAGACACACACCTTATTCAAAACTATATTACTCCCTATCTTCGTATTCGCACCGGAACACGAATTCATGACTAATTTTATCAATTTATCTTATACATCAGGTTGCCGGGCAATGGCAGGGCTGTGCACACATATTAGCCCGTTTCACCACCTATTACAAACAACTTCAGAACTGGATGGGATTTTACTTTTCCCTCATCCAGTAGCAGATTCAAGGGGGAGGGCTTCAGGGCTGAAGCACACCCTCCTTCCTCTCCTCTCTCCCAAAACATGGAAAAATATAATCTAAACACATGGGTTCCTTATTTATTTCTATGAGTTATCTGAGACAATACTTAAAGAAATATGTTAATATCACAATATGTTCTTTTTAAATTATAATGCAGGTACTTCAGCAACTCAATATAAGCACTTACCAAGAAAAAATAAAAACATTTTAACCCTGAATTATTTTTCCTGTAATTACCGTTACTACATTATTTTTAAAATATCAAATAAAAGATTTTGTTCATTTTACGACTCATCTCCCAATATGTGTACATATACTATTTAAATAAATACTTTTTTATGTAAATAAAATATTACATTCCATAAACATTTTGAATAACAACACCCAAAAAATTATTCTAATCAGTGGTACATGTTCAATGATCACCAAAGAGTTTATAAGCTGAATTAGCAATAAAATAAATTAAGCTTCAAGAAAAGCAGTATTGTTAGAATAATAGTTCATCATAATGGGTTTCTGAAAGTTTAAAACAAAATAAATAAGGACTGAAGGTGAAATTTACTGGGCTGCTAGATATCGCATGGCCGAAAGAGCTCATGACGATCAAGGCATATGATAAATAAATAAAATATCAAACACTGAAATGTTGTTTTGAGAATAAAATAATAAAGTAAAGTATCAATACATAGAAATACTATTTATAAAGAAAAATAATTAGTTATTGAAACTTTGGATTTATTAGAAATTAAAAAACAAAACAAATTTGGCGAAACAAAGAGTCATACAAATCTGAATTTTTGGGAAAGTTTCATTCTCATACAATTAAAGCTGGACTGGAAGTTAATCATAAAACAAACATTTTTTATTTATCCAACAAATAAATGTCTATCAAAATTTGTTGTTCTCTAAATTCTACCCGCATTGAGCCTCATTTAGTCTAGGCCATTCATAATGAGGTTCAAAAAACACCTGTAAATTCTACTATATTCTAATATCTACTAAAGGGTTCTCATAATACATAATTACGAGTCATCTAACCTAACCTGTACCACTACAACCCATGAAGGGTCTTGGGTTCAGTACTATTTAGGGAAAGCACTGTTTCTAGGTCAATGGTTATGCAAAGTGATTTAACCGAGATCAGACTGAACCGCCAGATTTTTCCCCTTAATCAATTATTTAATTAAGGTTACCCACTTTATAGAGGCTGGGTGTGCCCCAGGAGGGTCTCCCGACCCAGGGTCGCCCCACGGCCAATGAAACGGTATCTTCCCTTGAAAATCGAATAAAGGGCTGAAATGCTGGATGTAAAGAAAAAATTTGGTTGAATTAAAGGATTAAACGTGTTTGTTTATTATCAAAATTGAACTTTTGAAAAATTTGAATTGAAAATTCTCTTCAAAATAAACACCAGCCTTACAACATACGTTACATGAACTTATTTTTATTCTAAGAGGAGCCTTGAAGTTTATTTCTTTCCAAAAGCGACCTATTTAAGTTTCAATGTCTTTAATTATTTCTGGAAAAATCATTGGATTTCGTTAATATGTTCCACAAACAAAGAATTCATATAATTATTTTTTTATTTATAAATATTGGTTTTGACACAACGATTGGAATAGAAAATATTGTTTTTCAGGTTTCCTGAAAAAATTTTAATGATTAGGGTTCGCTCTGAAAATAAGTGGCTCATTTGATGATAAGTATCAAATGACATTAAGGCAGGTAAATAACATTCAAGTAACAGGAGTTAAAATATATTTCTAAACCAACTTTTACATAAACCTAAACCATAATCACATAATTCAAGGAGAATTACAGTTACGAAAATTCCTTCAGAACAAGACAAAAGTATAAAACTATTTGTTAAATTTCTTTAACTTAACTTTAACTTTAAAAGTCTAATTTATCTTCTAATCGCCCCGAGAAAAAAAGTTTCTAATCATACCACTCCCTACTGATAATTTTATACAGATAAAAATGTATACCTTTAATCATTTTAAAATCTTACAACTAAATAAATATAAAATTGAAATTTTGTTAAATAGACTAAACAAAAATTATCATTATAAACATTAGCAGCGAATAGGGAAAAGGTGTTGAGACTGGACAAATAATAGTTGTAAAAACCATAACATCAGGATTTAAACTTATAGGAGGGATTTCCTACAACAGATAAAAACAGCATATTAAGCTATGCATGACATCAAGTTCCAAAGACGGTTAGAATGATAGATGGATACTTAATTGAAACAGGTTTATCACATAGAACATGATACTGAACCATTTCATTTGATTGAGGAATCTATACTTGCGATTGAGCAGAATAACATTTATATCACACAACTAAATTGCTCAGGCACTTATTTGAAATAGAGAAATAAAACATATAACATACAAATGTGTTAAATTCACCTCACAAGAACCTCCTCAAAAAAGTGAACACAAAAAAAAAACACGAATAACAGTTTACACAGATAAATCTAATACTAAAAATTAACGATGGAATAAACAGCTATTCGTTATTTAATAAACTGAAAGCCAATTTAAAGCCTCGAAGGACAAACAAAGAATAGTATTGAAGCAGATGTGGTGGCATCATAGCTTCACTTAAGGAGCATTTACCGGCACTTTTTGTTATCATTAGTTGCATGAACCACTTACCACACGTGTTATAAGGAGCAATAGCGCTGTTTAAAATACTTTTCCGTGTAAAAATAGTCAGGAAAGGTCCAAATTCACTTAAAAAGAACCAACATAACTATCCAGAGGTAAGACGACTCTAACAATATGGCGAACGTGACGTCACGGAAGAGTACTAGCCCAGGGGTCAGGAATTAATGTAAATTAAAGCAATTACACCATTTATAAAAAATATATTTTTGTTTCAACTTTCATTTTATGGTTAATTTGGACCGTATGTTAAGGGCGCCAGGCAATCAGGGCAGCCTTAAGTGATTTATTGCAACCCCTCCCCACTCTTTACCCCTTCCACTTTTTATGTCCTTTTCCAGGGTCAAGTCTTTCCTAGGGTACCTAGAAATCGATGAAATGACCATTTTATTTTTTACTCCTTAGCAGAAACACTCTTTTAGTTATGATAATAATGTGTTATATGATTCTTCATTCATATTAAACCTGTAATAAGTTTGTCCTTGAAAACAGGTTTCCTTCAAATCTACGTGAAAGTTGAGTTTCACTTCATGGCTTGCAGTTCATTTAAAATTTACAAAAATGATTCCTACTCCGTCCAGTACGTGATTAGATACATTCATTCAGTACTTTACTAAATTTTAATAGTTCAACAGACTAATTAAAATATATCGAAACTTTCGTTTCGACAATTGGAAATGCCAATATCGTAACCATATGCCTGTCGTAATATCAATTTATTTTACATTATTATACATTTAGTTTCAAACATTCTCTAGCCCAATAAACAACAAATCTCTTTTATCATAATATTATGTAATTCCAGTCAGACGAATTTCGTAATTATTTTCAAGAAAAGTTTGAAGTACAGTCAAAAGTTAGTTTTTTCCGCCAGATTTGCAATTATTCTTCAAATTAAGTTGAATTATTCATATTATGCCCCAGTTTTGGAAAATGTTACATTCTTATGCAATATTTATCAACAATAAAATGATGACCTTGCTTAGCTGAATGACACATAAAACTAATTTCTTTTACTAAAATGTGTTTTTTAATTTTTTTTCTTGAAACATTTAAAATACCTAATTTAATTTATTAACACTTATTATTTACAAAATAAAAACTCATTTACACTTAACAATAAATTCTTGCAGCGCCTATATATCAGTAAATCTTATAAATCCGTGTATATTTATTTACTTTTCTTTTCCTTTTTATCTATCATGTTAAACAAGCTTTACAAATTCATATTAAGCTGGCAAACTTTGCATTCGTGTTAATTGTAAAAAAAAACATTGTTTGCTAAAGTAACTAAACTATAATCTATATATATACACTTAACAAAACAATAAAGCAAAAATAACGTTTCAAACACCTTGCTTGAGTCTCTGATTTGTTTTTAGTCTGGTATTAAAAATATCAGCAATTATTTCTTAAGTGGAAATCATACAAAGTATCAAATTTCCATTTCTGGTAAAACTATATAACATGACCAAAAATTAATGTTTAGTAGATTAATAGGTTTAAAAAAGTCATATGAAGCAAGATATAAAATATAAAACCAAAATAGACTATTTTCGCTCTATGGAATAATTTGATTCTTTTATTCTGCTGGTAGTTGATATTTGGGACATAACCAGTTCGTCATAGACGCGATGATATAAGAAAAATAATGTTCCTTACATTAAATTGATTGATTATTTTAACTTATATATTTCACTATGAATTAGCCCAGTAACCTTGTACATCGTAAGTTGTATTGAATAGGGGTAGAAGGTTTATTTTTATTTTTTGTAAGGAATATGACTGAGATGCAAAATCCAAGTTTTCGATCTCGGCGCTCTAGTCCCCCCTCTCACCTGGATCACTTTTGAATATCTCAAAAACTGCTATATTTTCGAGCTTTCTCCATTTTATTCATGAAGGAGTAGGCTTTCGACAAAAAACATTATACACATTTTGAAAGTAGATTAAATATGCTACAATTTACCACCCGAACAGGCTCATCAAATCAAATAGTTTACGAGATACAGATTTTCAAATTTTAGAAAATTATATTTTCCATTTAAATTATTTTTCATGTTTGATCATATGAAATTGTCTTATATCTTCAGTCATCTGTGCGATATGAGTCAGCGAAGTAAATATTTATTTATTTTAATATTTTGAAGAAGGGGTGATGGAGGGGCAGAGGGGGATAGATTTGGTGGATGAGTGTAGTCAGTGGGCCAGACCCTCTTCCGTGGACCCTTCCTCCACATCACTATAAATTTCATATCGTTGTGTTCATTGTAACTACTTACTAAAAAAAAATTCAATGCTCCTCCAAAAAAAGTGGCCGCACTATCCCAAAATGGCGTCCGACTATGGCTGAGGGACGACTTTGACTTGAGTTAATTTTTCGGTCACTGAGATTCATCAGTTGGCTTAATTTCGTCATAATTAGTGTTTTATTAAAGTCAGAGTATAATAAAGGCTAGTCAGAGTATAATAAAGGCTAGTCAGAGTATAATAAAGCATCAAACAAATTAAAAAATAATTGGCCTTGGCAATAAAAAATACCAGTAAAGTCAATTTCCTCAAGTCGTTCAATCTTAAGTTGAAAATCAACCGTGATTTGTAATTAAACGGTCAACAATAACTTAAAACTCCTTGAAATAACACATCTATAGAAATTTACTTTTCTAAATCACTGATAAATTTTTAACATATTTGGAACAGTTCTTTCAACCACTATCCACGTATCTAACTCCTTCAAAATAATAAGTTAAATAAATGTTTAGTTCACTAACTCTTATAAGGCAGGTTATTGAAGACATAAACATAAAATTAGCCCATTTTCAAGTTTTGAAAATTGCATTCACTTCATTTACAAATTTTGTATCCACTTGATGTAAATGTTGGTTAAATAATTTTTTTATTTAAATTTCTGTCTTCTGGTTGTAAAAAGTGATCTCCCCCTCTCCCACCAAACCTCATCTCCTCCCTCACCTCTCCTTCAGAATGTTAAAATGAATAAAAATTTACTTCACTGAACATATAAGAAAAGTTATTGAAGATATAAAGACGAACGCATATGATCAAACAGTTTCAAATTTGAAAAATTTCCAAAACTTGGAAAACCTGTATCTCTAAAATTATTGAACTTACCGAACCCGTTTTGGCTTTAAATTGTAGCAGATTTAATCTAATTTAAAACTGTATGGAATGTTTTTTGTAGAAAACGTGCTCCTTCATGGTCAAAATGGGGGAAAAAGTGCGAAAATATAGCAGTTTTGGGTTTTTTAAAAAATGATCCGGGGGAGAAGGGTGAGGGTGAGGAAAGAGAGCGCTGAGGTCGAAAACTTAGATTATGCATTTCAGTCAATTCCTGTATAAGAAAATAAAACCATCTACCCACATTTGATACAACTTAGACCCTCCTTTTCGTGACTAAGTTACTGGGCTAAATCTTAGAAAACTGAAAAAAAAAAAAAATTAATTAATTTTATAAGGCTTCTTCACTTGTTTTCATTTTGCTAATCTGGATTTTTCACCTTAGTATTAATAAATTTAAAATTAATAAAAAAATAATAAATTATTCTTTCTGACATTTCTCTTAATAATAAGAATCCGAAGATGTCAACAAAAGCCAAAATAGTTTTTGAGGTTTTAAAAGTTTATTAAAAGTTATCTAAAATAAGTATTTTAATGGCAATACAAAGCCTGCTAACAAACAGTATTTGTAAAATTTTATGATATACATAACCACAGACAGGAAAAAAAAAATGGTGGTAGTTTATTTTATTTCTATAACTTTTCCAGCTAAACATGAATACAAAAATCAAAAAAAAGGTTTTCACAGTTTAACTAGATATGTAAAAATGTCTATGAAAATATTCTGTATAAAATATATTTTGACTTGTACCTACGTATTACATATATTTTTTCAAACTTTATCTTAGAAAATTAATAAGAAAATCATGTAAAAATTGAGATGTCCACATCAGAGGTGAATGAATCATAACTTCTAGGATATGCTTATATATTATTATCCTGAATATAAATGAAACTTCAAAGAATAGGAATATTCAGGTGGTAATAAAATAGTTACCTACCTAATTAGGTAGGTAATTATTATTAATTAATTAGGTAGGTATCCTAAGCCTTAGGATAGCCGCGTAATAAACTTTTCTTAATTGATTTTAGTTTACATATTTATTCATTCACATAACTTATTTGTTATCAATTTTAACTTTTTTTTACTTCTAATTATTGCGATGGGCAAAACAATATTCTTGCCCCATCAACATTTTTATTGGATGGGGGCGATTGCCCCCTTCGCCTCCTCGAAGTCGACGCCTAAGCTGATATATATATATATTTTATTATAGAAGAGAGTAATAATTACAACCGTTTTTATATTAAACAAAAATAGAATAATTTTCGACTCTGCTGAACGGATTTTCGGATCATTGCGGCAAATTCCCAACTTCCAACCAGGAGAGAGTCCAGAAGTAAATTTTAGAGAAAGTCCTACTGTTTTATGTGGAATGTTAACAGCGATTAATGATGTCTGTCAAGAACAATATTTAGACAATTGAGAAAATTAATGTAAAGTAAATATAAATGTGCGATTTTTTCTGTTTCCATTTCGTGGGAATGGGTTTCCAAATTTAAAAACCTACTTATTTAGAAAGTAAATCTAGTTTTATTAAGACACAAAAGTGGAGAATGTAATATAAAATTATTCCAAAAATTAAAATGGTCTTTCATAGTATATTTTTGAGATCTAAAACCTAACTGGTCAACATTTTGAACACATTGTTCTTCATGACAACCTATCTTTCTGTAGTTTTTTATATATGTTAATCATTGATTAAAATATTTTTGTCTGCTTTTCTATTTCTTAAAATATCTGAGTATATTCATAATCATTACTCTTGGTATACTCATTTCATTGGTCCATATTTCTGTGGTACCTGTAAAAGTGCGTTGTGTGCTATTTTATTAATTTTTATAGGCATCTATTGGGCATTTATGGGCTAGAAAGTTAATTTTCTCTGTGTCTAATGGGCTAAGTTTCGTGGCTGTTACAGAGATGATCATTCCTTTGTGAATTATAGGTTGAATCTCGAAAATTGAACTTTCACCAGTGAAAATACCCAACTCCCAATTGTATTTTAAAATATGTATGATTTTTGTACTTAACATACTATGACATGTACACAGGTGCCACATATTTGTTTCTGTGTGTGATCTTGAGTTAAATACTTAATCACAATCACTCTTCTAAATGTAAGCATGTGTCAAGAAAACTATTATCCCTTAGGCAATGTTTCTGTAATTGGCATTTAATTAAAAATGCTTTGTCAAAGTTACTAAATTTTTTTTTATTATTTTAATGGAATTTACAACTGTATTACATATAAAATACAATAAGTAAATGTGAAATTGATAACATGACATGTACAACATGAAGAGAAACTACCCATTGGTAGAACTCAAATTACTAAATTTAAATGTATAAAATTAATTTTTTTCTGGGAAATAAACCTAAAGAAGGAACAACATTTTTGTCTGCCTCCAACCTCCAACAGATATTCCTTCTTGAAAACTGGAGAAAGTAACATATTTTTTTTTTTTTTCAATATCTCTGATGAGGGAGCAGATAAAAAATTGTCACATGATAGGTCTCCAAAGTATAAAACTCCAGTAAAAATTTCAAGTTTTTGTATTTTATCACAATATAAAATTAACATCTCACATCAACTCAATTAATTAACACACTACAACTAAATTAATCATATATAATTCGATATATATGGTTTATTTTCATAATTACATCGGTTGGAAATAGGGGAAGGCACGGTAAGATGAGTAATGTGAAAATATGACAAATTCAGTATTTTTCTCTATCAATCACAGATAGCAGTATCTCCTACTCAGCATAAGATTTGTGTAGTGGGACAATGTTACTCACAAGTTTAAACAAGTTTGTTTCCATATTAAGAAAAGTTGTGACCAAAAATTCAGATTGAAAACATTTTGAAGTCATTTTTGAATCTCAAAACGCTAGGAATTGATAGTGTAAGGCAAGTTTTTAAACTTTCACACTAAAATATTCTGAAGGAACAACTCCATACCATAGATAACCCTTTTATTTTACAATAGTTGTGGTTATTGATAAATGCTAATATGGTCAAAATGGTAAGAGGGGGAAAGATGACGAATTTTGCATCTTGTGCTTGGAGAAAGGAAAGGATGATCTATAGTATCAGTACTGCAAGTGCCTCAAATGAGCTCATTCTGTTTAAAATGGGACCAGAGGCATGCTCTGTAAATGTGACTTCTGCATTTAAATAATTTTTTTTTTATTTATAATTTAATAACATTTGGTGGTTCCTTCCACAGTTTTATATTTGTTGTTTAAGTGATATGTTAATAAAGTTTGATAGAAGTTTTTGTTTTAAGTAGTTTGTTATGATGCTTTATAATCTCTGGTCTTTTTGTCATCTTATCCCCTAGCTGAGTAAGATGACGAAAATAATAATTTTTGGGAAAACTCGTGTTTCTTCATTTTAAATACGAGAGAGGCAATTAAAAAAACTCATGGTAACAGGTAAGATATTGAATAAGTTCTCATGAAAATTACAGTTCTTAAATCCATTCAAATAAATACTAAATTAAACAGATAGTAATTATTTAATTTTTGCCGACGTTTCGACCCACTTTGCAGGTCGTCTTCAGGGCGGGAGGCATGTAGCACTAGCATGTAGCACTGCGGGAGGCAGTTGAAACACTTAGCCTCCCGCAGTGCTACATCCTACGACCTGCAAAGTGGGTCGTCCCCCTGATTAACTCCTTCTCATATTATATCAACGGTCAACTATCTCTACATCATTTGATGAATAATATTTCATATATTACAATATATTTATTTCTTCAAATGATACAAGTTCAAATGGCATTTAGCAAAGAAGTGCAAAAGGATCTTCAATAGGGTTAACAGTAAAACACATAAATAACTGTTAAAAATATATGATTGGTTTATTTACATATTTACAATGTATAATTATAAATACAAATATATATTTCATATATATACAACTATTTCATTTTCTTTTGCTTGATTAAATAATTTCTTAGAGCAATCTGGAAAAGAAAAACAACATTCCAATAGGCTTGCTTTTTAATTTAAAATATAATGATTGTAGAGTTCACATAGATATTCAATTACCTGTTTGTCTTTGAAAGACCGTTTCACTTTACTTCGTGCCTTATGCTTGACCATCATGAAATTCTTTGTTTTCTTTTTTTCACGATTAGTAGTACTTGCATGTGGGTTTACTCTACCAACTTTGTAGCCAAAAGCTTCACGGCCTTCTTGGCCCCTCTAAAGAAATAGAAAACAAAAGATAAAAAATGATTATAGTTGAAACATACACAAGAAACTTATTAAATAATTACTTTAATTCTAAAATTGAATTAAAGAAATACTAATAAATACTCACCCTAACACTTAATATTCTCTCTTCTTTTGATGTTTTCTTCTTCTTATAAATATTTTCAATATCTCCAAGAGTTAGAAGTTCACCTCTAATGAAACAAATCATATTTTCAATATAACAAAAAACTAGTAGAAAACAATAAAGAAAAAAAAGATTAAAAGAGAAAAAAAGACTTTCTCCCAAAATGGCTAAGTTTCTTTCCTTAACATTTTAATTGAAAAACTATAATGATTTGATCACAATTGGGTGATTGCTTGGAACAAAAATCCAGTTAATTTGATCTGCAATAGAATTCAACTGAAATGAACTTAAATAGGATTGAGAGTGCACTTTTTCAAAAATAAAAATAGTCAATATTTAGCTAAAATCTTGAAACTACAGTGCATTTTGGAGATGTGGTGGGGACTGGAGGTGTGATCTGAGTCCACTGAAGCATGATGTTTAATGGCAGTCAAACATGACACGTATAAAATACATTTTAAACTTAATATTTCTTGGATGCAAGTTTTGAAGCTGGAAACACAATTCTAGGCCTATGATAGTCATATGATAATATGATAGTCAACGGTAAGAGCAAGGCGCTGGTGTCATGAAACTGCATTAATTGTCATTATGTCATGCAACTACAGTTGTGGTGATAGAAATTACATTGCCCAGTAAAAATTTCATTTCATTTACTAGATTGCTAACTGCCAGATCTTCGAATATTTTGTTGTCAGTTTTACAATTTTCTAAAATCAATTACACTATTAATCGGTCAAATTCTTCGTTTGGTTTTTTTTCTCCTTCCAGTTCCTTTATTTCGCTACATGGTGTTTTTTTTCTTCGAAACTACGATTACCACTGATTGGTGGTACCCTATCCTCGTTAATATTTCCAGTGAAAATTCCATCACTTCATGTAACATCACAATTTTAATATTTTCTGACGAGAACAGTGTTTTGAAAATGGTCATAATTACAGCTTTTATCTTGGCATTAGTTATAACTGAACTGGGAAACATTGTTAAAGTTTTCTTGTAACCTAAATAAGTAAATAAAAACAAAAACATTCAATGGAATCAACGTTATCAACATAAGAATCAAAAGAAATAGTTAATACAATTTCTATAACCATGACTGTAGTTGTCTCCACTCTTGTGAAGTAGCTCCGTCCCCAGAACGTTTCTGTAATGCTAATTATCTTTCAAAAAGCGAATTCCTGTGGCACTAAGTTGAAACTAACAGTTTTTTTTCATCCTAAATATTTTTTTTTTTTAGAGTCCCTCTGGGTTGTACTTGAAATGTTGTAATGTTTACCAGAAACTTTTGCGTGGGCAGCTAGGTTCACAATAGTATGTGTACCCAAGAAATTAGTAGAGTACCCTGAAGGAAATAATTTTTAATATCCAATCAAAGGAATATAAGAGGGAAATTTTAGCGACTTGCGTTAATATGGTTCCTATCTCATTTTTATCGCATGAGCAGTTTTCTTTAAGCTTACATTATATGAAAGGGGACCTTTGTAAACTTTTATTTTTATTTTTTTAATTTCCAGTCCCCTAGCATGAATTTCTTCATTATAAGTAAATTCTAAAAATAATTTCCTTTGGCTAATTAGCCTTTGAGTGAATAAGTAAGAGTAAAAATACCAGGGAGTATATGAATTAAAACTAAATGACTGATAATTGAATACAAAGCATTGCTATTACTGTAGGTACTAGAAATAAAAACCAACTTCTTATAAACTATTAGAAAACGTCAGCTCCAATAAAAATGACTAATAATGACTGTGTCCTGAATATTTATCACCCAGTATAAACTATTAGGTTATTGTGTTAAACAATGCAAACATTAAAAAAAAACAACAGTTGATTCTGCAATAACTAAAGTAATCATCTTTAAGAAAATTTCCTAACTATGAGCTGCAACAACTGCTGGCTGTTTGACTGTTCCGGGTCACAAACATCAGTCTTCGGCCTCTTGAAAATTAGCTTTTATTAACTTTAGGAATGTTCTCAAGCATACCCAATGGACTATAGATATTCTCAAACAAATCTTAGATTAAGTATACTTGAAATTCTGCCATTTTGGGATAATGATTCAAAACCATCGTGTTTTTCTGACCCAATAGTTTTCTTTTTTTTCCCCTCTAATATTGGACATATATTGAAGAAAAAAAAATATAATAATTTGCCTTGGGGATTCCATCTCCGTAGCAGACCTCTTGACACCACGCTTTAGTCCAGAAACTTCTTTTGCTATCTGCATGGCCTCAATTCTTTTGAAGTCTTCATCTGTTAAGAATTTCGTAGAACTAACAGCCTTAGCAAGTTCTTTTTTTTCGGCGAGTTGTTCTTCCATTGATTTTTTTTCAGCTTTGTTCAAACGCTGTAAATTACAAATTCATGTTAATTGGAAATTCTTTAAAAGTTTAAAGAAATTTGTGAAACCATAAATTAAATTAAAATACTACATACAGGTTTTTTAGGTGCTGGTTTGTTCTTTTTGTGGTTTTTATTGTCTTCTTCATCATCCTCATTCTCTTCTACACCATCCTCACTCCCTTCTTCATCATCCTCACTCCCTTCTTCATCATCCTCACTCCCTTCTTCATCATCCTCACTTCCTTCTTCATCACTCAGTTCTTCTTCTTCCTCTTCCTCTATTTCATCAACACTCTTATCTGCTTTAACATTTCTACTATTACCCTCATCTTCTGAATGAGAAACATCAATCCAGTCACTATCACTATCATTTTCATCACTGCCTTCAATTGTCATATTCTGAAAAACATAGTTTCAATAAATAAAAAATGTAATCAATCAACTAATTTAATTAAAACACTTATTCCTTTTCTTACTATAGTTAGTAAATACTTACAGTGGCCTCTTCTTCAAGTAATACTTCTGCACCAGGAACATAATCTTTACTGTCAATTTCACCAAACTTTTTGGCTTTAAGTTCAATAGTTGCTTCTGTAGGTCTTCCCTGCAAAGAAAATGATAAAAATAATATTTTGACTCAGATGAAACAGTTATTTTAATAAACAAAAGAATCAATACCCTATCTTTTTTATGAAGCATTTCTGGAACTGAAGTTCTATACAGATGTATAAGTGAACGTGCTGCCATAGCAACACTTCGGTCCCTGTAACTTTTGTACTGAACTAGATCACGAAGTAGATCTTCATTCATAGCTAATGGACAACGTGAACACAATTCACGGATAGCATTCAACCTGAAAATGTTAAAAGTGATTTAAAAAATTGTAAATTTAATATTAATCACTAGAAAACTCAAAATTTAACTGTTTAAGTTAACATTTTTACTTGTAAATAAAACATCCATCATCACGAGATAAAATCCAAGTTATATCATGTTTTCACAATTTGAAATGCTTCATAGACAAACAAATGTTTGCAGCTGTTTAATTTTAAGCAGACTTACAACCCACTGCTGCAAGTAAAACAACTATAATTTTGAAATGAGCTGTGCACACAACTTTCTTCTTGCTTTAGTTTTGGATACTGTCCACTTTCCTGGTATAATAACTATCTTATATATTCCAAGGAGAAGAGGGTTGAACCTAGAATTATTTTCTACACACACACACCATGTATTTACAGAATGAACAGTCTTACTTTATCAGAAGCTGAGGGGAATAATGCTTTGTTACATGATGAACGTAGAGACCTCAGTGTCTCATATGTGGTGATGAGTGATAGTATACTTGACTGCCTCTAGAACTCCATATCTCAGGCATAGAGGATCAATCTCCTTTAAAGTTTACTCGGAAGCACACCTGCCTTGAATTCTAAGACATTCTGCTTGGAGATCCATGACACTGCTATATGGGAACCAATGGTGTGAATATATTTCAAGGCTGACTCCTCAAATACTGCCAATTCCATTTATCATAAAAGATCATTTTCATAAGAGAGTAATTCTTCATTGATTTTCTAAGGCAGTGGCTAAGAACAATTCTTTTTCAAGCACTCTCAACAACTCGTGAAAGAACAGTTTCCACTAGGTGGGGTCAAGAACATAGCCCTGGGAACCCCTAATTTCCATATTCCAGCCAATTTTGTGTGGAATGGTTGAGCAGGCTAACACATTTGCAACACACGCGTTACCTGGCATCCTGATAACCTGAAGATTACAAGCTTGAGTCCCGGTGCCAGGAGTACTTAACTCTGGCATTAATCCCTCCCTCTATCACCAGACTCAGGAAAAAGCGAGGTAAGGAAGTAATGTTATTTCAAAGAAGATATTTTCCCGTTCTCTTTTCTCTTCAATGCCAGTACACACTTTCAGAAGGGCATCAGTTTTTCTCTACCTTTAGTATAACCACACTTTCATGGATGGCACAATTTTGATTAGCAGATTCTCCAAAACAAAATAGTTTCTTAATAAGTTATGATGAGGGTTTTAAGGTATAAAACCATATCAATATGTATATCATCTTTTATCCTTTGAGGTTGAATTTAAGTTAAGCAGTGATAAAGGAGACTATATATTTTTAATATTTCACTATTTATCAATATTTTTATTTGTTTAAGCATAGATATGGTTTTTGATTTTCTTATTTGCATAAAGTATATAATTAAATATTAATTAATAAGGTGGCTATTCTGAAAGTCTGGAGCTTCAGTTTCTCAATCATGATCTATAGCACGAAAAGAAGAAAAAAAAAACATACAAGTACATTAACTTTCAATATAATGTGGTCCATTATGCCATGTATTTGAGTATAAAATGAGTCTAGCAGTGGTCATAAAGTCTGATTGGTCTAAAAATGACATGATAGTTTTTAATTAAATTTCTGATGAGTTATACGAAAACAATAAATTTAGGGCATGAAATGTTTAGGTGATGAATTTCATTACTTACCCAATAGCCATTGCATCAGAAGAATTTCTTTCAGTGACAAAGTTGTTAACAAGAGTTCTTAAAACAGGTTCTAGAGTCTAAAAAAAAAAATTAAAAAAATATATAACAAAATTACTTCAAACGAAATAATATAATATATTGATGATAAAAGAACAAATTAAAAAAAATAGTCAGCCTGTGGTAAAAATGAGCTCTCTCTAGAAAATAAACTTTAAGAATAATAAGTAAGTATAAATAAACAAAAACATATCTGAAGTATTACTTGGTAATTCTAGAGCTGATTTGTTTTAGTTTTATCTCTCTCCTATTTAAACCAAAATTTGTATTACATTTTCAAAATGTCAATGAATTCTGCTGAAGATTAGTAAAAAATTTTAAATAACAATAATCCAAAATTTCAATAGTGTATCTCTCTATTATACAAACAAGTTTTTAGTGACCACGTAATATTTTATTTTGCATACAAAAGATCATTTTAGTACATTACTCTCATAGAAAAATACCACATTTAATAATTAAATATTAATTATTAATTTCAGTGGATATTCATCTGGAGCTGGTAGTTTGATTTTATCTAGATAACAGCAGTTATTTTTAGATAGAGACATTTCCCCTTAAATACAATATATTAATTATTATATTATATACAATATTATTTATATTATATTCTGATATAATTACAATTATTATGAAATATGAAAGGAAGCACAATATATTGGTACAGTAAAAACTGTAGAAATAAATGGCTCAAATTGATGTTAGGCTTAAATGAAGCTGGGCAAGTTGAATATATATATTATGAATACAAATTGGCAATCAGAATAATTATAATTATATAATAATGTAAATTGCCAATAAGGCATGATGTATAATACAGATTTTTAAAGAAATTAAAAAATTGACCCAGCTATGATTCAAAGATTACATACATTGTTTTTGAAGAGGCATTAAATTGAGGTACAAATTAAAATACTGGGATAAAGACTTGAAATTATTATTTTCCACTGCTTAATCAAAACAACAGTGTAAATTGCGGTCAATTTGAGCTACAAGTAGTACAATTAAATGAACAGTTATATAATTTGTAAAATGGGGGTTGGTCCGCCATTAGGCAGACAGGGGGTATCCCCTTAGTGATACTAAAAATTTCAAATTTTAGGCACATAGGTTTTATTACCTTTCCAATAATCAGTGCTTTAGTCTTTATATTTCTTCTCAAGTTCACATGGGCTTAACGATAAGTGTCATTAGTTGGTTGGTTACATAATTTACCAACCCTCTTAACGTAAAAAATAAAAAAGGAGAAAATCAGTTATAGTATATGTTTGACAGTGGCAACTTATATATCAAATTAATTTATATGGAAATAATACATAATACAAATTAATTAATTAATTAATTATATCCATTAATTTGTTTTCCCCTAAATTGAGATGTCCAAGTAAAATCTTTTTCTACTAAACAAAAAATTTCATCTCTCCCTTTTATTGCTAATTTGGACTCATTTGAATAATCTAAATAAAATCCACCATTCATTATGAAATTTCATAATTATTTATAAATTTTGAAAAAAATATATAAATAAAACAATAGTTAATTGTTCCAGATGAAATAACCTGTGTATCTTAATAAAGATAAATTGATTAATGTGAAGTTTTATACAAATTTCAGTTCATTAATTGAAGGGGAATATGGATAAAGATAATAATTAAAAAATTTCGATTCTTAGAAAACTGAATTCAAATCACCTGTAACCACTATCTGGCCAACAGGTCTCACCAATGGATTCCTATATCAGCCAGCACCCATTATGAACCTAATTTTGAATTTATTGAAGAAAAAACGGTTAAGAATACATAACTTTGAACTTTTGATCTTTATTACCATTCAATTTTACCCAAATTGTCAATTTTCACCTTTATCCACTTGACCCATAATTTTAGATTAAGTTAAATCATCCAAATAAAGTGCATTATTTATACAAGTAGTTAGTATTTATACAAGAACACATGATTATTCTTTTAATATTGTTTAAGCAAATATTTAAAATTAACTTACATCAGGTGGTACATATTCATGTGATGCTTGAGCCACAAACAACAGTAATTTAGTCACATCTAAAAAAAAAAAAGTAAAAACTTGTAGAATTTCGATCAATCATATTGTTTTAATATTTTCAATTGATAAGTTGTCATAAAAAATACCTCTTTGATGAGGTTGCAGATATCTTTGAATAAACGGATAAAAATTTAAGATGATTAATTGATGTAATCCAATCAGACGCGAAATTACATCTAAAGTCAGAACTTTCACTTCAAACCTTTCATGAGTTTTCTCCAGTTGCCTAAACAGTTTTTCTGCCATTCCTAAAAATGAAACTATATTAGAAAGTTAATCATTAAAACTTATTAGTAATAGTTATCCCACACATGCACCTAGATTTTTTTAAAAACAACTCTCAATAGACTTGAACTTTTTGATCATGTAACCATCACATGTGAATCAATGACATAATCACAAATTGAACTATCTTATACATTATTTCTCAAAGATATTTATACCTTTTCCGGCTCTCAGAAGTGATGGATTTTGACGAATGAGGTATCAATAGAAAGGCAATATCACGTAGAGTGCGCGAATCGTAAATTTGATTCCTTACTTTACACCAGGATTTAAATTAAAAGTGAATGTAAAAGTGGGAGGTTTCAAACCATATGATGATGCTGTCTCAATGATCGAGACGTTACAAATGAATTCATAATTTACAAAAAAACAAGAAAAGTACACATTTTTGGTACATTATATATATGAATATTTGAAAGCTTACTGAATTCCCTACAAAAAGTAAAAAAAAAAAAAATCATCGGAATTTATAACAGTTGTCTGATAAAATATTTTCATTGCATATTTTTTTCATTCCCCTTTTCACTTATTTTCAGTTTATATTACTCTGGTGAGCTCCATCACATCAAATTTATATTTGGCATATAGCTATAGTATAAATAAAATATTAAAATGGAACAATTTGTACCGACACAAGGAGCTAAGTGGGTTCAAATATTTTTTTAAAGAGAAACTAAGTTGAGATATGTATTTTTGGTGCATTCCAATCATACCAATGATTTAAATGAATATTTGAAATCTTACTAAATTCCCTACAAAATGCAAACAAAATCATCGAAATCGGACAATTTGGTTATAGTGTTCGGAACATTTATTATTTGTTATACTGCAAAGATTCTGTTGCATATGGGAATTTATTTATCAAATTGGGAATGAGCCCTTTTTTACAGTATATTATGTATGAGTTAGTAATTTTTTTTTAAAATTCCAAAACATCATCATATTATTTTTTAATTAAGTAAATTATTAATTTATTTTTATTTTTGTGTCTTCCTTTAAACATTTTTGGAAATTTTTGTCAATGTGCTTCGATTGCAATAGCATCTACTTTTAGATCTTTATTATTGAAGTTTATTATTTTAAAAATACATTTTCGATTTTTGTTTTTAATGATATAGTAACATATATCTAGATTGGACTAAATATTCCTCCCTGAGAATTTGAGGCTTTTGTCGTCATCAGATGTTTAATTAAAGCAATGTTTAGAAGTTTTTGTTAATTTATGATAATGTAATGAAAGAAAAAGCTAATATTTAAATTATAAGTTCAAGGAAATGCAATGGTTAAACCATGGCAGATTGTAAATCATATTTATAAACTGATTACTTACTTAATGTATTTATTAAACCTTGGAGTATCAAACAATATTGAATAGAAGTTGTGCTGAGCTCTTGTGTTATAATCAGATACAAATATTAGTTTTGTGCCAAATATTCGTACGAGTCAGCTAATTAAAGAAATAATTTTACAAAATCAAAACAAAAAATAATTGATTTACGTTTCATAGATTGATTTCAAAACTAAACTAAAGCAATAAAAATGTTAATTAAAAATAAAAAAGAGCGATTTATTTAATTAAATTATACACAGGTTTAATTAAATTAATTTCTGCTTTCTCAAGAGCTAAACAAAACCCCTAATAGGATTTAATATTTTACTATAAAGATAATATCTTAGCAAATTACCATTAATTAATTATACATTCACTTGAAATAAAATGGAAGTAGCTATGAAGAGTCCTTTCAACCAAATAATCTAAATTTTGTTAACATATTATTGCTTTATATTGACTTCCATCCACCTAATGATTGTAATTGTATTCAACAATAATTCAGTATAATGGAGATGTCGGATGGTCGAATGACCAATGACATAAAAAAAAAAGTATAATGGAGACATAGACATGGTTGTTGCTAAAATCAATAAGAAGATTATTCAGGGTGCATTCAGAAATAAAACACAATAATGTATGAACGAATTAATTGTGTGAATTGCCTCAGCTCCTTGAAAGCCTAAAACAGAGGCTGAAATATTGAGACAAAAGGAATAAATTAACAAATATTCACTACTGTCTGTTTTATAAATACACCACAACTCAAATCAATATCTGTTTCTGTAGAGGTATTAGGGACTAGAACTAAACTAGAAAGTAGTGAGTAAATAATAATTAAACACATATACTATACACTATACCTTGAGGATCATGTAGTAAATGTAAAGCAGAAAAGTTGTAATTTGGAGCTTTATTTTTCTTCTTCTTTTTCTGAAACAAACATATAAAGTAATTATGTGCAAGATAACTATATATAAATGCAGAGTCTGCCCAAAGGTTAATGTATAGAAAACAGAAGTATAAACAACAAACAAAAATATAATAAAAGAACAAAATAACAGTACATACAAAAAGAAAAATATATATATTATCTTCTTATTTTCTTGATATACTGTTTTACTGGTCATCGCATTTTTTTTGGTTTGAAACACACCGAAAATTTAACCTAACAAAATAAGACTTGTTATTTGTATTATTTCATTTATGTTTACACCCCCAACGAACTTCTATAAATATTTAGGAGGCAGGGTTAACAATATCTCCACTATTATTTCAGATAAATTTCAATAGTTCAGAAGGATAAGTATTCAGAAAGAAGTGTCAACACTTTTTTTAAACAACTATAAAAAATCACCTTTATAAATTAAGTGGGCATGAAAATAGTAAGAATAAATTAAACAGTTGAATTTATGCCAAAAAGACAGTAATTTGTATAGAATAAAATGTAAGAATAGAAAATTAAGTCTATGTAAAGTAAAAAGAACTAATGATTAATGACTATTTCAATCTAATAGAAAAAAACAAAACAAATTGACACTTTCTCCTGAGAATATCTAAAAACTTCTAATATAGTCTTTCCTATAAATCTTTCATTATGGTAGCTATCTTTAAAATCATATTCATTTGAGAAAATCTTTGGTTTTATGGTGTTATGCTAAGTATTTAATTAATAAATGCCAGCATTGCCAGACTGAAATGATCAATTTTCATCTCAAACATTTAATTTAAATAATTAATTACACAGCCAAACTGCTAAAGCCTATTTTTTATATCACGTTATTATTCTTAAACACATTATTCCTAGAATAAAAATGTTTTTGGGAATCAAGAAATATGACTAACTGTTCTTACCACTGCAAGCTGTTTTACTTTTTTCAGCTGCTTTTCTCTTTTTCTTGTTTTCTTATTAAACCTGTTTGCCATCATTACATCTTTTGGAGTTACTTCGTCCTGTAAACAATAAGGTATTAGAGACTGTTATTTTTGCAAATCCACAGTTTACAAGCAAGCAGCTAATGTTAATTCTTACATCAGAATCACTGCTGTCACTTTCTTTTTCAGGTTCATCCGAACTTAAGAAGAATTTAAGAGCAGCAACCATCACCTGAAAAACATAATGAATTAATCAACCTATATAATAATTAAGGAGAACAAAATAATATGATGGCGGCTGGTTTCAAGATCACTTAGAGCACACTGTAGATGGAATCTTAAAACAACCCGAGTGTGTTCAAAAGTAGTTATTGTGAAACTCCTGATTTATTATTGTAAATTTTTATGGTATACTTCATCCAAATAAGGATACAGAGTGGCATCAAAGTATTTCTTACTTATGGAGACTCGGACAGGCCTTTAAGGATCACTCAAACATCATTTCATATGTTTCTCTTCCAGAGTAATTACAGTTATAAAAACAAATAATAATAATTGAAATGTTTGTAAATAAATAATTCGTTAATAAGGAAGTTATATGATTGGAAGATGCAGGTTTTTGAAAACTGCATCAAAGTGGACAGATTGTAGTTAGTTGTGAAAAAAAATTGGTTGGTTGAGACAATAGCTGACATCATAACATTTGCAGTTTTTTTGTATATTAAATAAATATAAGTCATAACTCAATTTTTGGAATTTCATGAACAAGTGTGACCAAAGTGATTGTGCATTACATCTAATCTGTATGAAACTCTCGTGAACTAGAATTGTTTTTTTGTTTTTTTTTATTCCTTTAATTTAAATTTTCAGCCCATCTATTTAGAATAATTTCAAAAACCAAAAGAAATATCAAATAACTACCAACAATCACTTACCTTGGTAATTTTTGAAAAGCAGGCAGTGGCTATGACATTTACAGTTTTTGCATCGTGCCAAACATTTTTTTTGTAAAGCTCCATCATTATACTCTGAAATTAGGAACACAATTAAATTGATGGATATTTAAATTCAAACTAATAGTAGTTCACATTTACTAAATAAATTAAAATGTTACTTAATTTAAAAACAAAACCAATATTCATTACCAGAGACATTTTAACAGCTTTGGTGTTGTTGTCTTTTAACATATTAAACATAAAATTCTGAAGGGTCTAAAAAAAAATAAAAAATAACATGTTAGAGTAAAAATATTTCAACTAAATATACTGCATGTAAAAAGAACACATTAACTTCGTACTTACATTATTGAGCTTCATATTCTTATGTTTTGCATTGATATTTTTAATATCATTGATAATATGAGATTCTAAAAATGTACGAAGATTCTTGTCTTGTGCACGAAGAAGTTGAAAAAACAATGATAGCAAATCAGTTGGAGCCAAAAGATTTTTATTTCTCAAAAGAATCAATGCTTTACAAAAACTCTGAGGAAGAAGGAAAACAATTAAATTTAGTACGAATATAAATAGATTTCAATAAAATTAAAACCTACCATTCGCATATCAGGATGAAGAACAGTACTATGTTTTTGTAATATGTCAATCAACTCTTGTGCAAAATTAACTAGTACATCAGGATAACAGTGAGCTACTTGTGCCATGAACATAACAAGCTCATCTAAAGATTTATTGTGTTCAGCAGGGCTAAGTTCAAAAACTTTCAATAATGATTTGTAATGCCTTTCTTGTTGAATAAACTAAAAGATAAAAACGTATATTAAATAAATATTAGTCATAACTCATGCAATACAATGTATATATACTATACCAATATTAATGGCAACGTTTCCTTACTTCATCTTTGTATGAATCTGGATCTCTCTTTATTAGATTTTGTAATTGAGGCAAGTTTTGCGGCAACTGATTATTATTTCTTTTAACCATTGTAAAAACTTTCAAAACAAGAACACGTGAAGGAAGGTAACACTAACTGTTACAAGCTCCGACTATTATAATCAGTGTTGACACCTTAAAATGACAAAATAAAATAATGAAAAAATATAATACTGACTATAATAGTTTATAATATTGATTAGAATGTTGATTTTCATAAAATAAAAAGAAATCTTGAGAGATTATCATAACATAATAGAAAAAATAAGGAATCTTAAATCTTCCGAATGGTGAACATTGCTTACGTTGACTGTTTAGGTTCTGAATCCAATGAATCACGATTAGTTCTTTAACTTTTTTTTTTTAACTGCTACTAACCCTCTGACGAAGATAAGCCAAATAAGTATAAGATCTCGTTTACGTGAACTTTATGAAAAAATAAGCAAGTAATAATTAACGAAGGTAGTAAATATTCGGACTTTATAGGGCTGATTCAGAAATCTCCAGTTGACGAATGTTGGTGGTTTGAGGCATATAGTTCCCAGGAAAGAATATTAAAAAGGTACCTGATGGACTAATGGCTGGCGTATATTTGTCCTCCAGTTTTTAATTCACATCACATGTGCGATTTCGTGACCAGAAGAGTCTATAGAGGTGAAAACATATTTAAGGGTTACAGATTTAACCAATTGCAAAACTGTTCAGATAGAATCCAGTAAAGAAGTGCCATGCTTCTGAATTAAATGAATCTGATCGCCTTCATATTAGCAGCTACAAAAAAGACTAAATGGCACGAGAAATCTGTGGTTGATGGTAGATCTTTTGCTTGAATCTCTTGACAATACACTGATATTTTTCTGAGAATAAGCACAAGTATTCGATGAGGACATTTGCTTTAATTTGTTCATTACAAAAGGATTAATACACAATCCCTGCCACGTAATTACAAATTGTTCCTTAATGACCTCATTTCAAGTTTGATCAAGTAATTTATTCGGGAGACACTGAACTGGATTTTACGAAAGTGCCTGCGCCATTGTTAGTTTTCTCTTTGAAGAATGAAACACAAGATGCACTCTCACAATTTTTTTATATTTGAAATTAGTCTGCATAGGTAGCATGGATCTTGAAATACATTGCGTCATTCTTCTTCTGGGCACTCCAAGGCTTTAGTGTGATGGTCCTACCGCCGTCTTCAAAACATTTATGAACTTGAAATGTGTGAAAATATCTCCTTTCCCCAACCGAGGAAACTCACCAACTCTGTGTGGACACGTTGTTTAATTAACCGGTTCTCAACATCTTAGCCCCCAACTTCAATGCAGGGGATGACCATAGAACACTGGAGACTAGGGGCACTTTCTGTATTCTTCTCTCCCAATATGTTATTAACGGAGGCCAGATTTTCAATGACTTTCCTATATTTCACAGCCATTTACCTAAAAAATAACACACAATAATTCAACACGCCATATAAGTCATAATTTTATTACATAACAGATAATAAACTGATGGCTGGGACTTATTTACCGTCGTTCTAACAGGCGGATTTATGGAGGGGAGGGACTTTTGGGCTGAATATAAAAAATGATTTTATACTTCAATAACTTCAACCCACCACCTTTGCTTACTATATATAATTTTCATTAGTCCAAATTTGTTTGTGCGTGATCTTAGCAAAACAAACAATCATAATATGTACTATTTTTAAATTATAACGCATATACAGTTTCTAACTGTAAACGCGTGTCAAGAAAAAATATAAAACAATTATTTCTAAAAACATTATAATTCTAGTAATTATAGTTTTTTAACAGTCCTTCAAGGATCACTTAAACATAATGTTATAAAGCTTCATTATTTCTTGGGAGGGGTGCGGGATGAGGAAGGTGCGAAATTTTCATACAATGCTTACCATTAGAATAAAAGTTCCCAACAATTTCAATAGTAGGAATTTCTCTTTGGAACTAAAAAAACATGAATTTATTTGGTAAAGAAATATGTCATACTTCCCTTCTATTTTGTATTTGAACTTTTCATTTACCTGTCGCGAATGTTGACTCTTCATAACAATAATTTTTTTTTTCAATTTAAAGACAACTTTTTATCAACATAATCTCAATTTCCAGTTTACACATAGCTACCTTCTGAGAGGACTCGAAACGCCCACTTGTGAAAAATGTAATAACGTTCCACAAACAGTGAAACACTTACTGGAAGAATGTCCTCAATTTGAAAGTTACAGAAAAAAAAAACAGGCTTAGACTGAATATTAAAAGAAATCCTTCAAGATACTGAAGAAACAATCAATACTTTGTTTAAATTTTTAAAGATAATAGAGTATTATAAAAGAATATAAATCATAGTAAAACGTCGATGACTCAATCTCAATTTCTTAACTAGAAGTTATTTAAGTGATCTAAATCTTCGTTATTACTCCTTGAGTAAAATACTTCGCAATTGAATTTCAAAATATTGGAAGGAAACACAAGCGGATCTACGGGGGAAGGAAAAGGGAGTCTTTCCTCAAAAAAATGGTAAAATATAACCATGCTTTATGAAAAAAATGATCTCTAAAAGCATTATTGTTCATCTAATTACATTTAACAGGACTTCAAGAATTACTTAAACACAATTTCATATAGGTAGTTAGTTTCTTTCTTTCTTCCAAAGTAATTATCCTAATATATACATAAAAAAAAAAAATCTTGCAGGCTGAAGCCCCCTCCCCAAAAAGGAAATCCTGGATCCGTTAGTGAAAGGGAGGTAATTTCTATTCCCCATACCGAAACTCTTTGACCAAAGTTCTGGATTTATATAAATGTACTTTTTACCTAACAAATATAACTAACCACAGACCCAAATAAACCCTGCCTACAAATACATTTTTGAATCTAAATTTCCTACAAAATTCCATCTAAATAATGCAACAATGCCATTGGCTGAAAGGATGACGTTTGCGATATGTAAGTTGAAACTGATCAACTTAACTATAATTCAGAATGACATACTCCCTTGGACTTTTATACAGCCTAAATTAAATCTACTGTTATCAAAATTTAATAAGCAAAATACGGAACCTGCAAAATAAAAAGAACTATTCCATAAAACAATTAGCTATTAAGTTATGTAGATATTGAAGTAGGAATGTTTCATAGTTGTAGTTGACTTTCTCACTTATGAATGAAATAAAGTGTCATTTGTAATGATAATATGTTTCGAACTCAAAAAATTAGAAACCAATTTTCTATACCAATAGAATGGATAAGAAAACTATATAAATAAGTGTTATGCAATCCGATGAGGCAGGAATTATCAAAGAATTATCACAAGATATTAATTAGTTTAGCACATGTTGCAAACCGAATATTACTGGTTCGGGGTCAGGAGGGTCTTCCCTATCGGCTGCCTTGTCACAGTGTACGTGGGTCGGATTTGTTCTTATTTTATACCATTCGGCGAAATGAACTGCATAACTTTCTAATCTCATTCCAATTGAACAAAACAAATTACTTCATATAAAGAAATATATTTCATTACATTCACGAATTAAAAAAGTAGGCATTCGACAAGAGCGACATGTTATTTTGAGGATCAGAGGTATCGGAAGAAAGAAAAAAAATAGAATGATGTTGAGAAAATAATTATTTTAACTTGCCCGATTTATTTGAGTTTTTTTAAAATACATGAAAAATACTACAAATTTAACTTAAAATCAAAATACTTGTACCTATTGTTTTCGAACTTACCTACAATAGAATGGTATATATCCAAGGAAAAATATTAGTTTCTTATATCAGGTCTAAACGTTAATATTTAAGAAATAGATCTAAAATTACACTCTCCGTCAAAAGTATTGCAACACCCACAATTCTCGAGATTTTCTTGATTTTGACCTTAATATTTAAAAAATTATATATATTTAGGCAATTATTTTATTATAATACATCCCCGATCAGGGAAAAACTAGAAATAAAAGCTTTGCAACAGTCACAGGCGGATCTACGGGGGGAGGGAGGGAGCTTTCGGGATGAAGCCCCCCCCCAAATGGTAAAATGTAACCATGTTTTACAGAAAAAAATATTAAATACGATCTCTTAAAGTATCCTTGTTCGTGTAATTATATTTAATTGGACTTCAAGAACCACTTAAACAACATTTCATATAGGTAATTAATTTCTTTAATTTTTTTTCAAATTAATTATCGTTATATGTATATGAAAAAAAAAACTTTCGGGCTGAAGCCCCCCTCCAAAATTAAATCCTGGATCCGCTACTGGCAACCGTTAATTGTAGTTATTTTTGCTGAAAACACCGGTACTTTTAGACGCCCAACCACCAGTACACCTTAAAGCATACTAATATAATCCATTAATTGCATGATCATGAGACTTTATACTCACTCGTCAATGTAAAGCAAAAAATTTAATGTTGTACCAAGCTGAGATTCCTCAAAAGGCAATTCTTAAAAGCAAACTCAATTTAGATACACAATTTCAATACTCCAACTATATTTAAGCTTTTGTAGAATTGCGCAAAACTTGTAAAAAAACTCTTTAAAATGTTAATTTTTTTTCAGAATTCGTCCATGGAAGTGGAAAAAAATATATATCAAACATCTTCAAATTCTCACCTCTTCCCACAATCGTGCAGTAAGTGTTCTGAAAAGAATATAAATTGCATCCCCACTCTTGTAACTACAAGTATAGTGCAATGAAGGTTGCCATTTTCTCCCTATTCAAGGTCGAAGGTGCAGGAACTATGCCTCCCCCCCATACCTAGAAATTTTCTTTCTTTTTTCTTCTAAAAAATAGCGTAAGTAAAAATAGAATTAGAAAATTCGTCGATCATATATAATTACACTTACTGTGGTCTGGTCCCTTGTTCTCTGGATTTCCGGAGAAACTTTTCAATTCGAAAATTCATACCTCCGTCACAAAGTGCTTCCCCCAAAAATTCAAAATGTGCTCCCCTCAAAAATTTTGATGGTGCAACTAGCGCTGAAAAAACCCTTTCTGAACACAATAGTGCGACTAAAAAAAACATTATTTTACTGTTTATTATATATATTATTTTAAAACAGTCCAAGATTGTTTAACGCTACCAACTTCGTCACCTAAGTTTTGTTGAACCTATATCTGAATATATTATTACTAGGGACGATCAAAATTGGTCACTAAATCCATTCTGATCACAGAATAGCCTCAAATTAATTGAAATTCCCTAACTAAATGTATACATTTAAAATTGTTTTTAATTTTGAAATATAAGTGTATATAATCTTCCGAATCAAGCAAATGGAATTATTTAAATAAATTATTTTATAGTACTAGTACGAAAGAAGAAATGCGATATAAAAATATTTCATGGACGAGTTAAACAAATGTTTATAACCTCTGATGAATTTACTATGGTTTAATAACAGTAACTTCGATAATATGTAAAGGTATATATCGTCGGTTTATTCAGAAAAATCATCATGCAACATTTTATAAAATTAAATTTATTAATAATTTGATGTATATTCTCTCTGGGAAATCACATTATCCATATAGAACTATTGTGATGGCTTTTGACCTATCAATGATTCTAATCTTCATTTAATACATTTTTAAAGAAATATGTGTAAATATAATGCCGGCCTTAGACATTTGGAGTCTCGGGGCAATGACGTCATCCTCCGTAAAAATATATTTACTTTTTAAGGTGTTTTATATTATTTAATATTAAAATTTTATTTAATCAATTTTTTTCTAATAAAAAAACCTGTACCACTACAACCCATGAAGGATCGTGGGTTCAGTAATATTTAAGGAAAGTACTGTTTCAAGGTAAAGTAAAGTTGAAGTACTGTTCTGAACTTCTAGGTTTTTCACCATAATTAATTATTTTAGTTAAGGCTACCTACTTTGTAGAGGCTGGGTGTGCCCCAGGAGTGTCTCGTCACCCCAGGGTGGCACCAGTGGAACAGAATTAATATTTTGTGTATTATTAATTATTAATTTATTAATTAGTCCGGCCATTAGCCGGGATTCGAACCTGGAGCATTGGAAGCTCAGGGTCCAATCACTGAACTACCCCTCTCCATTACTTCCACTCCATTTTTCACTGTTACAGTTGTTTTATTAATAGGTTAAAATTAATTATTTTAATATGTTCTTATATATTTTTTATTAAATTCTTAAATAGCGGCGAGCGTCCCTAATGATCGGCGCTCCTAACGGACGCACCGGAATATTAGAAATATTGCTTCTTGCCTTGCGGGACTAATTTATATCCCCTTCTTTCCTGCATTTCCTGAATTTAAACAGTAAATTCTGTGGGCGATTTAACATTAATAAGTCCACAGTCTTACAATCTGTATGCTTCAGTCGTAGATTCAGAGCCCACCATAGAACAAGACTCATAGATAGCAAGTTCATAAATGTCATTTTCCTTT